GCGCCACATTTCTACACGTTCTCCTCGTGGCGCTGGTGCACACTAATTTGTGCTGCAATGCGTTGCTTTGGTGGCGGACATAGCTCACATGCGCCGTACAGCACCAGCTTTGCGCGGCCACCATATCAGCGTTCGCGTAGCTCCGGCGCACAAACAACCCGTTCCTCGCAGCCACATCGGCGTTTGCGCTCCTCTTCCTTTACTGCTGAGACGGCTTTCGAGCATTTCTCGGCACCCTTTAAGGCGCGCAAAACGCGCGACCATCTCAACAACATCACCTACGAATTGTGACGGTGGCAGCAGCGATTACGACGACCTCAATGCCAATTCGAATTTGAGCCCCGCAATTGTGTGGTGATGGCCATTGCAATTGTACTAGTGCTACGAACAATTCGAGCGACTGCAACGCAGAAAGCTATTAACGCGTTTTTTGATCTCGTATTCGTATTTGTATGCGCTTTGTTGATCGGCAGCGCAACATTAAAGCAGCCGTGTTGTTGCGAGAGTAGTGCCAGTGCCGACAGCACAGTGTCATCGTATTCCACTTTGAACGTTTATTATTATTACTTATTATGAAAGAAAACAAAAAAAAAACAAAAACGATAAGAAAATCAAACAAAAAACTATTACTCGTATTAAAATCTTACATTTACTCCATATTTCTTGTACTTTTAACTTATAGTCGTCGTCGTCGTCGTCGTGTTATAGAAGAAACTGAACAAGTAAATAATATACAACATAAATATATGATATACATAGATAAGTGTGTACACTTTAGGGCAACGTTTTGAGGGAATGAAGAATGCATAAAGACTAAGCGAGAGAAATATAGAGAAAAAGGGAAAAAATTAAAAAATCAGCAGCAATGGAATGAAAATCAAAGGCAATTAAGACGGAGATTCTCATACGCCAACTTAAACCTGATTGAATGCATTTGCTGAAGTATGAAGCGAAGCTAGATTTGTACTTCTTTAACATTTAACTTTTTTCTTTTTTTTTTAAATTGCATATGACTCCCGTTTGGGGCATTTGAAGAGTGAATTTGTGCTCTCCGCGCAATATATTTCACCATTCGGCCAGATCTCACCATTAAATTTTTATGTTTTTTTAACTAAAAATGTGCGAATTTGTTGTCGTTTTCTTGCTTCATTCATTGCATTCATGAAAAAATTAAAATCACTAAAGGAAAAATGTCTAAAACTGCAATCAGAGGTATCTTATGTCAGGCCATAATCAGTGACCATGGTATATACATATGTACATTTGTTACGACCAAAACATTAATGTCTCAGATGTAGAAACATTTGTCAGGTCTGCATGTACAGTGGTGGTCATATAATTTGGGACGCATTCAAATATCGATGCCCCTTTCACCCAAAAACAATTTTTTTAAGCCCTTCCGAACCGGTTAACATCAGTAATTCGAGCGGGCCAATCCAAAACACTTTCCTGCAGAAAACCAAGCTTTGTTGCTCCTAGCAGTAAGTCTTTGATCGTTATCCTGCATAAAAATGAATGCAGCAGGCACATTCTCGTCGGAAAATTGCCTTCATTTTGTTCATCCATATATCTTTGTACAGATTTTGATCCATTCGCTCTGTTATCCGACCCGCACCAGACCACGAAAAACAAGCTCGCACTATAATATTTCCTCCACCATGCTTTATGGTCTTTAAAGTATAGCGAGGATCGAGTTCTTTGTTTGCGGCACGATGCACATACTTTTTTCACATCCGATCCAAATAAGTTAGATTTGGATACTTCGATGTTAATCTAAAATTCTGAGGCTATTCGGCATGTTCTCGTGCAAAGTGAATGCAACGTTTTAAATTCCTGTTTGCGGATTTTTGCTTGCAATGCATCCACCCAGTCCCCCATCAAGTAATCGGTGTCGAATGCCAGGGTGTCTCTCGTCTCTCGTAGTATGGTATTACGATCTATACCACACGTGTGTCACTTTTATACTACAAATCATTGTAGCTGCTACGTAGCAAAGGCAAACTATAATATTGATATTGAAGTTTCTATACTACATGTGTGCACCAGGCATAACGGTCCTTGTGGATATGTTGTTGTAGTTTACCCTTTATTGCTCATGGATTTGCGTGGAAGTCAGAAAAAGTTCAGCTTTGCTCGTTCTGCTAATTAGTTTGTCTCCTGCTGCACTCGTTTTTTTTTGCCGTGGCTTCCGTTTTCGGCTTTGATTTTCTTATTGAATGTCCTTAATTATGTGGCTACCACTGTATGTAGGTCGTAACTTAAACATACGCACATACATACATGTAACCAGAGTATAATTATGGCATGCCATTAATCTGTCATAACATAAATACAGATACTTATCAAAAGGATGCATATGCAGAAGAATGTATACATATGTTCATATTCGTTGTACAATAGCCGTATATACATATTTATTTTATACCATAGCTATATGTCACACCACCGCAGACATATGCCATCTTGCCAATTGTACCACATTTATGAAAAACTATTTTTGACATCAAACAATTCCGTTGCCTTCGCAAAACAAAATTATGTTTATGCGCTTAACTAATAAAATAATTCGAGGTAAAGTTGTGACGGTATTCGTTCATTCGACAACCTTGCTTTTAACATGCCCTTTACTACTTATAGAAGCATTGCAAGCTGAACTAAAGCCTCAAAAATTGTGTTTCTCAACTTGAAAAAAGGCTAGTTCTCAAATGTTTTCAACAACATTTTTCCAGGAATTAACATACAGTAAAGAAAGAAATTGATTATCGATTTGGTAATTACATAATTAAAAAATTCGTAAAAGATTTGAGTTACGTATGTTAGTGTTTTTTTATTTAGAACTGCCGTCTCCGTGGCACTCTTTGGTCAGACATCCATCCAACTCATTCCGACAGCATAGAATTTACCTTTTGACTACTGTCAAACAGTCGTTTTTTACATATATCTTGTTTTGCTAATCAGTGATTCATTACTACTAGAGTATATATGCTTGAATGCCTCTGATTGCAATTTAGAACGGTGGGTCGTATGAGAGAAAGTTTGTTTGATTTTTTTTTTATTTGAGAGCTAAACAAAATATGCAAGCTTGCTAATCGTGTGAAGAATAGTAACAAGAAAAATCTATTTTGTCGTATATTAAAGTAAAAAGTTACACCAACAAACTTATACATAAAAATTACATGCATATAAACGTATACATCATACAAACATATATTTTACTTAAGTGACTTTGAATGCGTAACCTTAAGTGTTTACAATTTACGATCTTCAATCCATTCTCTACCTACATACATATACAATATATTATTATTGATATATAATAAATGATGATAATTGTATGAAGATACAAAACGATAATGAATAATAAAACGCAATGTTTAACTTCAATTAAAAATATAAACTAAAAAGAAATTGAAAATGTTATTTTATTGTGGCAAGTAAAACGTAATAAAAATATTTAGTTTCATTGTTTAATTTTAAAATAAATTCTATTTATTTGCATGCAGGTTAAAAATTCTATGCTGTTTATGTTGAGGGTGCTGTGTCAGAAGGAGCCGCTCGGGAATCTTTCGATTGCCTTCGTTCTAGAAATTTCGATGTTTCGAAGATGCATCTCGCTGTGGTCGTCCATCATTAAAAAAATGTTTCAACAAGAACGCCATACAAGCATATATGAGATCGCTAGGCAGCTGAATATACATTACTGAACTGCTTTAAACAACCCGGAAAAGGTTGAATGCAAAACGAGACTCGATGCTTTGGTTCCTCATAACTCACCGGCGAGAAATTAATTGTAGAGAAGTTCCATCTGCGAATCGCTTTTGAAACGGAATGAAATCGTTTGAGCGAATGGATCACAAACGTCGGAAAGCATCATGATCCAAGAAGGGTCGCTCCCACGACAGTCATATATATGTAAGTAAGCGGAACGGCCCAAATTTATACCTGGCAAAGGACTGTCACTCCAGCATCACTCTCCAAAAGCTCTGGCGAATTTGTATTCTACAACAACAACGCCCAATAAGGATACGCTGAATAACCGGTGACAATACAAGTATTGACTTCACGGAAACGTTAAGTTCTGTGTTTGGTATAATTGAAAGGGCGCGACATTTTGACCAGTTTTACCTACTTTGCTTTTTTTAATGTTTATTATGTTGTTTTTTTACAAAAATGCAGCTCATTTAACAAAATTCAATTCAAACTTTATTGAAAAATTAGTAAAATTCAACAAAATCCCACAACAACAACAAACTTTTCATTACGATGTCGCGTTGATTTTTGGCAAATTTTTTTGTTGCCTGTGACACGCATTTTCTTCCATACAAAGTACGTTTAATATTTTTTTTGTATGGGAGAAATAATGCTATCGCAAAAAAATACTATCAAAAAACGCGAATTCTTGGCCACTTGGCCACTTCCACTTTATTAAGCTAAAATTTAATGCGCTATAAAACAGCAAGATACTTAGATTTTTTTCTAAACATTTTTAATAAAAAATTATAAAATTTTGTTCAATTCTTCTAATTTTTCTACAAAGTCTGTATTTTTATAAAAAAAAAATAATCATTATACACACGAAAGAAAAATAGTAAAAACTGGCCAAAATGTCGTGTCCCTATTATTTTTCACAAGACTGTATATCATATGTTACGGTCCCTGCAGAGCTCCCTTAAAGGTATTAACTTCAAAGCAGTCTTTGTTGTTGTTGTTAGAGCGCTGATACCTTGAGAAGTTTGTCCCTGCAGAGGTAGCCCCTCGACAGGCAATAGCAAACCTCCGCGTATATTTCTGCCTTGAAAAAGCTTCTCATAAAAATCCGTTTCGGATGCGGCATAATACTTTAGGTCTCGCCAATTGTCTAATAACAGCAAGACGCACACCATAAATAGCAAAAGTACAGGGATGCCGTTTTGATCTAAATAGATCAAATTGGATACATTTTTAGACGAATTTTTGCGGGATACTCTGTTTTTTCCGGTCAGTATAAATGTGGATACTTTTTTAAATAGGCCAAAATTTTATATTTCCTATAAAGTTTTTTTCGTTCAAAAATCGATTTTCATTAAAGATGGTAGAAAGCATTACGTTTTATAAACGTATAAAGAATCGCTACTTAAGCGTGAAACTAAAGCATTTTATTTGTTGTGAACGAAGCAATGAACATATGAAGAGATCTCACCAAAATAGGTATAAGCGCAATTGCTTTAACTAGCTTAAAAGGATGCTTTAAGCAAAATCTTAATAAACATATCGTCGTTTAAGGTACAAAACCGCGTATCAACAAAATGCAAAACCTCGTATGTGACGTTGCATAAATTATTTTCTAGAGAGTAAAAACACTTATATTTCAAAATGGTTCTCTTTTTTATAAAGTAATTGCATTTCTGGCTAGTATATGGGGGATTAAGCCAAGAGCTTGTGTGAGCAAATCCAATTTTTGGCAGCAAACGTCAGTTACGCGGTTTTGCAGAATGACGATACGCGGTTTTGTACTTTAAACGACGATATATATAAAGTAAATTATACTCTTTCTGTAGTAATCTCTTTCATATCACATATTTTCATTTGTTAATTTAAAAAGAAAGAAGATTTCAATGTGGTTTAAAAAACTAAATTTGATTTATTTAAGGAAACTTTTATGAATTTTACTGAATTTTTTTTTTTATTTGCGCATATTGAGAGAGGTAACCAGATTCCTCTTTTAATGTGTGCAAATTTGCACGCCGTGTAATAAAATTAATCATTGTCTGTTTACTTTTACACATAAAATGTTTAAAATAAAGTAATGTTTATTATTAGTAGGAAATCTATTTGTAATTTGAAAATTTTTGCAATTTTAAACATTCTATATATGTGTATTTATGTGTATATTTTAAAGATCTCAAGTTCAAAATCAAATACTGAACATCCTATACGTATATTTATACAGATTCTTATTGAAAAATAGATACTTTTCAGTAGTAGTTTTACATGCTCTTTTTAGAGTGTACTTGCTATTTATTATATTTACTTTGCAAAATACTTATGCACAAAAATGTACTTTATAAATTGAAATTACAAATGTTTGATTTTATGCACATGTATTCCTTAGGATGGGTTAAATTATGTCTTTTTCGTGGTAGTGTTTGGTTTTCTTACAAATTATGAGATGTATATGTAAAATAAGAAAATTGGATACATTTGGATACATTTTTGGCTTGGTCAGGGATACATTTTCTTGAGACGGCGCGGCAATACTGATCGTGTACATAAATCTTTTCGCCAACGTCCATAGTAAAACCGGTCAAAACTATTCGGTGCGTTTTTCTGCTAAGTGATAAAAGAAAACAAGGAACTGAAATATGTAAGACTAATTAGACTTATCTTAGAACCATTTTCGTCACATCTTTATCCATCCGATACCATAGGTAAAAAAAAAATGCTTTGGAGATAGAGGCAAAAACAGCATTCATATTTCTAGGACATATTTAAATGGGTTTGTCCAGAGAAGAGAAACGAATGGCGTGCGGTTTGGACTCGGCCAAAATTGCTTGGGCGGTTGTACGTAAGGATGACGACGCTCCAGTGAAAAGATCCTTTGACTCCGCACCCACGAACACATTGGAAGAACCAAGTTCAGAAGGACCTGTCCGCACTTGGGCTGAACAAATCCGCAAACGAGAGAGCCAACTGGCGAAGCTTTTTGGCATCGGCCTAAGCCGACAAACGGTTGTAGTGCCAAATAAGGAGAATAAGGTTACAGCGCCAATAAAGAAAAAGAAGTCCGGATATAACGTCTGTTATTTTCAGATTGACTCTTGTTTGCGAATAATTGCGAAGTGAGCAGAATTTTCAGTTTCGCTGTTTAAATTTCAATCAAATAAATAATTTTAAAATATAATAAAGAAAAATAAATTATGCCGAACAGTGTGCTAAGGACACATACGTTCTCGTCGAAGCTGGGATCTTCCAAGGGATTGGAAATTTGAGGACATATATGTATGTACAATATGTATAATTCAATAAATCTCGGTACTCAGCTGCGATGAAGGATTCGACTTTTCCGCATTCCTTTCTTATATTTTTTTTTTAAGTTATTTTTATAAATGAATACATACATACGTACTTCAATGCATCGAGTATTTTCACTAGATCTCTAATATATATATTTTTTGTATCCGCCACTGGTTACAGAGCCTTTTAAATACATAAACCAAGGACACCTCGGTCCTTGAAAGTTTTTCGGCGGATGAAAAGGCTTTCAGTCATCAAATGGATTGACTGTTTCGGAAACCAAGCCCTGCAAAAAATTAAGACGTTATCCTCGTGGTAAGAATCGAGGCGGTATTTTGCTGGTATATTTAAGAAAAAGATGCAATTATTTATTATTCTAATTCTGCGAAGCGCTCAATTTTTGCAGTTGAAAGTACATCCGTTATAGTCGAAAATGTCCTTTAAATGCTTAAAAAGTACAGTTCAAGTACAATTTAATTAAGGCCCTTATTATGAGCTGCATTCGATTTTCGATCTTCGCTGG